TAAAAAGTGATATTTGACTTCTTGTTGAAAACCGCAAGTCCAATTGCTTTGATATTACATATATAGGTACTACATGTGGACCTCTCTCAGATTTATTCATTTCATGATGATATCTTTAATTCTCTAATTTTGATGAATATTTTTGTAATTTTTGGTAAAAAGTGATATTTTCGACTTCTTGTTGAAAACCGCAAGTCCAATTGCTTTGATATATTATACATATAGGTACTACATGTGGACCTCTCTCAGATTTGTTCATTTTCTAATGATATCTTCTGTTCTTTAATTGCCATGTGCATTGCTAACAGCGGAGCTATCTCAGCCGACAGGCTGCTTGTTAAATATATATTCTTCGTTCTCTGAGTTTTATTGATTTGACAGATTATTCAAGTATTATTTCCCCCTAAAACTAAACCCCAAACATGTTCAACAGAAAACAAGCATTGGTATATTACACCTACATTTGTATAATGACGGTCACTTTTACCTGTATGCAAAATTTCCCCCAAAAAATTGTGCAGGTTTCAAACTGACATGTTACATATGTTTAATTTAATTTTTTTCTTATTTTTTAGGAGGTGATTAGAGTGAAGCGTGAATTCAAATGTTGCGCTGGGTGTAGCTGTTGTGCTTGCGTTGACTGTTGTTCAATGGAGATTTCAGTGGAAGCTCCTATCGATACAGTTGTAGGCTATGTCAAACAATCGTAAGTTGATTCATTTAAGACACAGAAAATAACTAAAAAGACTTTGTCACACTGTTTTTTTTTTTGATCGTGCCAAAAGTGGACAATAGTACTCAAATGTGTAACATTACATCTAGTACAAGCTAACATAGAATGTGTAGAAATTCAGCTGTTTTGGCTAAAAAAATATTTGCAATATCTAAAGTTTTTATAACCTTCCCTGACATTTTTACAAATTTTATTTTGAGAGTACTGCTGGTTCTCGTCCCTTAGACCAACATTGTAACTCAGTAACAGTATATTGTTAATTATTGCTGTTAATTTTTGTTATTATCTATCCATATTATCAATACTCTATAGTCTATATATTGGTCAGGGGCTGGCACCTCACAGATTTAACTTTAATAATTGACTACATGTATAAAAGGTGAATATAGGAAATCAGAGTTTGATTTGAATGTTGATTGTGGTGAAGTGTTTCTGTTGCCTGATTTTTCAACCATTTACACATCTACGCATGTAGTCTTTTTCAGGATCAGTAGCATCCACAGTAATAATTCCACAAGTTGGATTCTACTTGAACATCCTGAAACCCTTTGAAATAATGAACCTAGAACAAATTCAAGGCAATTACATTGTCACCATGGCAACACCTCAGATCTAGTAAGCCTGCATACTTCACTGTTAGAAATTGAAACCTCATCCCTTTTTCAAAAATTTAGAACAATGTATAAATATTATATTACTGATTGTGTGCCAAATTTATGATGATTTCATAATTTTCTTGAAAACCTAGTTAGATTTTTGGGCAGAAATGAAAATGTAGTAATCTGAATATAAATAGTCACACCGCTGTTATTCTGTTCAGATAGTTATTTGCTAAGAACCAATGCTATTCTAATTTGACATCCTCAATTTGTTAATAGGTGCAGTGCTTGGGCTCCACGCTATGAGATTCTTGATGCAAATCGTGAACCAGTATTCTGTATTAAGGGACCTTGCTGCATGTGCCAAGGCATATGCTGTACTTGGGATCAGGAGTTTGTGGTAAGCATTGATGCGCTAAAATGATGTCATGAGTTGAGAAACTTACTTTATCATTCAACAAACACATTTTGTCATTTACCAATTACATCCTATCATTTAACAAACTTATTTTGTCATTTAACAAACACATTTTGTCTTTTACCAATTACGTCCTATCATTTAACAAACTCATTTTATCATTTAACAAACACATTTTGTCTTTTACCAAATACATCCAATCATTTAATCATTTAACAAACTTATTTTGTCATTTAAAAAACACATGTTGTCTTTTACCAATTACGTCCTATCATTTAACAAACACATTATGTCATTTAACAATTTCATTTCGTCTGACTACCTGTAATCATCATCAAAATCACTTGTTTGTAGATCCACTTTTACTTTATCCTTTAAGAAACTCACTATTTAATTCACTACACTAACATGTAACTTTGTCAATTAAAAACTCACTTTGTCATTAAATAACAAATTTCCCATAATCCAACATCTCTTGAAGTTCTACATTACTTCATCTTTTATCAAACTCACTTGTCATTTACAAAACTTAATTTTTCATTCAACAAGCTCACTATATACATGTACTACAACATGTATGTCAACACTTGCACTTTTAAATTAATAATTTTTAATTTAAAAAAAGTCAGGATAGACAACAGTTGCATTCACTTGACACAACAAACATACAGTATGTAATTTCTTTTTTACAAACCATATAACTGATGATAACAATAATAACAGAGTTATCCTTTTTGTTGAATGTTTCGATTGTATCTAACTTTCTATTTTATGATATATTACCTGCAACTACACCTTTGACCTGACTGGTCAAGTCTGTTATTAACCCAATCAAAATATAGTGGTGTACTGATGCTACATGTATGTTTAGGAATTTCTGAATATTGATGGCCTTTTTTACAGTGCCTTGAATTACCAATGTTTTAATACAATCTGATTGGCACTGATTTGGAATGAGGTTTTTTTTTTAAAAAATGGTAATTCGCAACATTTTAAAAGTAAACTGAGTGAATTTAACACCTTTCACGGCCGCCATGTCTAACTACAGTTTATCTGTTTACACCTAATTTAAATTTCATGACCTGATCGGTTAATTTGGGGCATTTCTGAGGGATCGCTAAGTTGGATGTGGCCGAGAGATCACAAGAAAATAGGAAACAACAAGTACTTGTAGTACAGTACTTTGTGGCCTTGAACTAATTTTTGAAGTTATGGCAAAAAACTTTAGTAATAGGATTTTCACGGTTGTCACAACATTACGAATTTGCAAAGTACAGTGAATGAATTATAACCAAAAGCATATTCAAGTTTTTATTGAGAACTATCAACAAATTTGGCAAGAGAATGCCCATTAAAGCGCTGTGGTTGTGTTGATAAACATTGATTTTCCTGCAATGCACTCTTCAAATGGAATTCGCAAGTATGAGTTTTGACCTGGGCATGACTTGCACTGATTACCGCCGGCAACTCCGTCGATACCATCCAATCACCTGAAAATTACCTAATTAAAGCTTGGAAACATCTTAGTTCGTACTCGTTGATCTGTGCAACAGTCAAAGTTGCCATCTTTGTTTATATGAGACCCATATATAGTGACCCATATGACGACTACCGTCCTTTAAATTTGTAGCGCAGGTAGAATGCAAACCTTTTTAAAACATCTACTGTTGACTTGTTTATAGGTACATGATAAAGATGGTGATAGTGAGGTTGGTAAAATTAGCAAACAGTGGACAGGATTTCTGAAAGAAATGTACACACAGGCTGACAACTTTTCTGTTCAATGTAAGTAACTGGAGTGTTTTTACTTCACAATCTTCAATTTTCTGTACTTGTGTTTTTACAATGTAGAATATAATTATATTAGTTAGTGGTTGGTTGGTTGGTTGGTTGGTAAAATTTGTGTATGTTGCCCTCTAAGTTCAGTTTCTCCATTCCTTTTGTTAGTCCCCGTTCGGACGCAGTCCGAAAACGGGGACTTATGTTTTGCCCTGTGTGCGTCCGTCCGTGCGTCCGTGATCACCTGTATCTCGAACATGCATGGACCGATTAAGTTCAAACTTCACTCATACATCACACATTATATGGGACATATGCACATGCATTTTTTTCATGATCCGATTAACGATAGCCGAATAGCGGCCATTTTAAGGCCGAAAATGCATCAAAATCCCACATTTTCACCATTCCGGACCCGGATCTCAGTTATGCATGGACAGATTTTGTTCAAATTTGGTACATACATTAAACATAATAGGACCTTGATGCACGTCATTTTTTTTTTTGGATCGGGTT